TGATTAAAGAAACTTGTTTACAATATATTATAGAAAGCTAAGCTTTAAACAACAACTTGATGATATCAGGTCTAATGCATGAATATCACTGTAAATTGAGAGAGGTATGTAAGATAAATAAACTGACTTTAGCAATGGATCAAGGGGCACAGCGGATCGAGGGGTAACGACGCGGCAGACAGTTTGGCCAGAGAAAAGTCAAGCAAAAAGACCATCGGACCAGAAACCATTATAACCATTCCATTTCGACAGCTAAGAAACTGGGTAAGAGAACGCTATTATCCACAACACGATGAATACTGGACTCAAACGACTAACTGCAGGCAAGCCGAAGAAGCAATCCCCAAGGGAGACCTGCAATTGGCACCAAGTTAAACAAACTACTTAGACAAACGCTAAGACTAAAAGTAGGTAGACTACTTGGACATGGCCATTTTAACAAGCATCTTTATAACATGGGTATTTCTGACAGTTCTCTGTGCAGGCCATGCCTGGATGCTGAAGAGACAAGCGCTCACGTGCTACTCGAATGCTTGGGCGTTTCAAGACGTAATAAGTAGCCCACGGACATTAAAGGAGGCATGCGGCAAAGTTAAAGGACTTATGGGCTTCCTGGAGGAGCTGGGGTGGTAAGACTGATGCAACCTCATTATTCACGCAAAATAGGCACATTGTGTCGAGTTGGGGAAAAGCCCGCCGAATAACATACCATAACATATAGAAAGCTATTTGAATATGACGTTTTGTTACAAGCTCTTATTGGACTTGATTGGTTATATTGTTTGTATAGATATTTCATTTTATATTAGGAATTGAAAACGCCTTCACTGACACATTTCGTACCCTCGTATCCTCCACTAATTACCTACATATTAAATCATGACGTTCGTAATAAAGATGGATGACGCATATTAAGAATTACAAACTTTGGTGCTGACACCATATTAAGGAACATATACTCAGGTTATTTTAACCCGGAGTTTCGGAGTAGGCAAAGTTAAGTTATTATATTATCATGATGAGGAGCTCAATAGCGCAGATGGGTGACTAAAAATGTATTATTTCGATATTCGGCGTGCTGCAAAAGGCACGTTAAAAGCTATTCGTCCCGCCTAGGTCTGCAGTACTGTAACGTCCCTGCATATTACTATGGATTTACTCTCCGAACGATTTTTGGCCAATGCTGGCCGCTTATATTTGAATATTTAGTTTTTCGTGTTATATTTTATTTTCTGGTAGAGAATCCTTCTTTTTGGATTGCTTCAGCTTAGAGTCAATATCTAAGAATACAATACAAATTAAATTAAGAATTAACCTCTGTATTTTTCCTTGGTTATAAACATGAAAACCTGAAGAATCGCACAACCCAGAGGTACTTCATTTTCCCCATTTCATATGAAACGCCACCACATGAAATGGGAAATGAACAGTCTAGCAACCAGAAATTAGTATTGTGTCTGCGTGGTGGGTTACAATACGTTTTATTAATTTGACTCAATTTATTGAGAAGGCCAGCGTTTAGCAGTCCCCAAATTAATCGACTAATGATGTTGAGTTCACCATAAAACTAAAGTACGAAGAACAAAAATCATATAAAACATGAAGGCATTTTACAAATTCACGACAAATTAAAATATAATTCATAAAATACTTTGCTAAAGATATTAAAAAGTTAAATACAAAGCCTTATAACGTTTTTTAATCGTAGATAGACCAAAGGTTTTCCTCATTTCAACTTCCAAAATTTTATTAATTAACTTTTGTAAAAATTAATTAATGCTTTAGTTGGCAGTCGCTTCTTTTATGAGTTATAAAATTTAAAAAGTTTTGAATTGATTACCTACTGTGATTTAAAACTTGAGAGTTAAGCTTGGTTCACATCTCCTATGAAGCAGCGTATCCATCACGTTATTTGACAAATAAAGAACACAGCATGAACACGAATAGACAGACCCCTGTCAAATGGAGTTTAATTTTAGTTGTTTTCTTGATAAAATAACTAGCCATGATGGCAAATTTTACTAGCATTGGGATGATACCTGCAATTGCAAAAAAAAAATATTTCCCAAATTAGTGTAATTATAAATATAATAACAAATAACACTAATTTGGGAAATATTATTAATATTTTTTTTGGAGTTTAATTTTAGTTATTTTGTTGATAAAAGAATTAGCCATGATGGCAAATTTTACTAGCATTAGAATGATACCTGCAATTGCAAAAAAAATATCTAATATTTTTTTTTTTGATAACTTAAAGAAATGGGGATTATATATAACAAAAATTTCCTTAAATACATATGTCAAGAACTATAAACATATACGCACAAATAACAAAAAAGATTTAAGCTCTATAATCATGACTTTATTAATGAGCCCACTGGTGATATGCATACCTTTCCTTATGTATAGAATCCCAAATAACACTTCCGCAATCACAGGAGTTCGATGGCGCAGTGGTTAGTGCGCTCGGTCTGCGATACGGTTGTTAAGCTACTTTCACTATGGCCGATCGGATGGGTGACCAAAATTTTATTATCTCGAACTCCTCGGTGCTTCGGAAAGTACATCAACAATCGTACAATCTGCTGTTAATACCTACCAATCCGCATTTAGTTCGCGTGGTGACTCACGACACATTCCTCCCATTCAATTGGATTTCTGTAGGGTAGACCGGAACCCCAGCTGTCGGGATTTTATAGGCCGGTGATGATGATGATCACAGGTGGAATTCACTGTCGATCTCTATTATTTCGATAGCGGTTATGTAAAGCTCTAAATAAATCCTGCATAGTTCAATCCAACTGAGAGTATTATATCTTGAAATAATTTTCCATTTCATAGTGATTTGAAATCAATATTCACATTAAAATTATTGAGGCAAATTATCCTTAGCCTGTGGTTTGTGGAGCACTATTGGTCCGTGAGTATATGTATTACTAACTGCTTTATTGACTTCGCCCGCAAGTTACGCCCGCAAGTTACGTCATACGCTAGGTCCCCACCGTATGACGTAACTTGACATAGGTTTGAGAATTTTCTTAATCGAATCAGTATTTCCGAATATTACCTTTACTTGGGTGATGCTTGCAAAAAGTTTCCTGCCGTCAAATCGGTAGAAATTGTTCTTATCAATACAAAATCCTAAATAATTTAACATTAAAATCAGGCTTTATCTTGTGTAAGTACATTGCTATACCCATGAAATTATTTCTAGCAACTTCCACATTCAGTATCCGCAATATCTTTAAGCTATTTGTGTAATTTCAACATCTATCGCAATTCCTTTCAAAGGTTTAACGACTGTGATAGCGATTAATGGAATTATGTGATGATTAAATTCACAATCGCTTTTGGAACGAATAATGATATAAATTATCAAGAAACATAATAAAAACTTAGCTAAACACTTCGAAAGCATAATCGTTCAATAGCTTTCAAAGATATTTGCGTCCAACGCTTGCCAATTTTGTTCATACAATGTCTTTTAAAAGACGTTGCGATTGATTGCATTATTACATGTCAAGCTTTTGTAACGTGAACTGTCAAATTGCAAGGGGTTAGAATAGATTTTAAAACTGTGTATTTTTTGCCACAAAAATATGTACAAACGGCAACGAATCTCGCAACCACTATTCTTCACGTGTTTCGCCCCTCTGCGGAGCATACTCGGGAGTTATTAGAACAACCGCGGTTGGAACTATAAGGTTTTGTCTTCGTCTTTTTCTGATTTTTTAAAATCTTATAAATCGGTAGTGAACCGTCATTTTTTCCACGTTCAATTGTTTTTGCAAAAATTTGGCCTTTGAAATTAACTTAGCATGCTATTGGTGTGTGCAACCCAATTATTTTTCTAAAATAAAACTCTAAATTACAAGTAATTTCCTTTATTTACTTGTTAAGGGAAATATAAACAGCTCTTTCATCTTTAATCCTACATAAACATTTTCAAATAAATCCATTGTTTTTATTACAATACATAATTATTAGTAACGACATTATTTGTCACAAAGTTCTGTAATCACACAGTGTATTATTATAAGAACAAACTATAATACGTAAATAAAATAATTTATGAAATTTTAAATCAAAAGATTCGATACTATTACTGGTAAAATTTATAGACACTTCTTATTTCATCACGTCTGTATTTAATATCATCTTCTTTATCCCAAGAGAGAAAATAAGAGAAATTATTATCATTTAAATAATAAAAACATACGCTTCAAATATTGACAAATGATATTTTAATATTACATTTATTTTATTTAATAACCGGATGTCATAATATGTACATATATCCAGACTATATCGTAATAAAACTATTTTTACGTATTATTTAAACTATTGTTTACAAAATGTAACATTATATATATTAAGACATGCATGAAAATGAAGTATTTAATTATTAAGTAACGAGCCACAATTAACTTTTTCTGTTACATCATTAGTCATTTCTGAAAACAAAATATTTTAAATAAAAAATGAATTACATGAAGCCGTAGTACAATTTTAAATATTCAAGTGGTCTTATTTTATACATCACGAATCTATCTATTTATGTTACAGACACTATCATTTCATTTATTTTAAAGCACAATGTTAAAAAATAATAGAAGAATAGAGATCATATTGATTTGTTTCAAACAGGTAATTTAAATAAAAACCAACAAATGGATAATATAATAGTATATTAATACACAGAAGTACTTAAAGTGACTCCAAGTGTCACTGCATTCTATATTGAAATTCAACTGTTATTGGATAATTTTGTTGGTATTTTACCATTTACGATCCTTCTGTCAACAACATCGGGCAATATTACAAGTGAATAAGCGTTTTGTTATACATACGCGTTAGTAAGGATTAGTGTTACAAATTAATAACACATTTGCAGCATTAATCTTTGAATATTCGCCATTTTGAACAAGGTAAGACTGATTTAATAACAGAACTATAGTTTTACAGGAGCCAATTGGATAGCAATAAAAAAATCAACGTTAAGATGAAGAGTCAAGGGTCACATATGGTGTTAGAAGTCCGGTTACTTGACTAGAGCATTGTTTCTGAGCTTCACCAGCCCGTGGTACTAACACGAGTTGTTCGAGATCGCCCTGCAAAAAAAAAATAATATTAGTGCGGCATTGGGAATATATTTGTTAATATCGGAGTTGGTACTGGAGATATTTTAAGTATTTTTAGGATTGCATACTCTAAAAAGAAACAAGAAACCCTAATAGAGTCACTTTGTTGTTCATCTGCCAGTTTGCCTATCAAGGTCCATTATTACGGAAAGATATCGAGTTACATTAAAACCAAATCATCATCATCAGCCCTTTTACAGGGGCTTGTAGGGGCTCAGGCCTTCCTTATAAATGGTTAAGGAGGAACCATATAAATGAGTGTTTTTTTAATAGAAAAATTGAAGATACTAGTTTATTTTACAGACCGGGATTGTTTGAAATTGATATGTAATATTAGTACGGATCCGTCAGGGCACGAGTCCGATTCCTCTTGACCTTTTTTTTATAAGATATACATTGTTGGAAAGGCCGCTAGTTTCTTGAATGATTAAAACTCCAATAATAGTTTTATTTAGTTTTAATAAGAATCCAAAAAATATTATTTACCGTTAAAACAGAAATTTACGTGTTATAAGAAAAATCTTAGATGGCAGACACAGACGTAACAAAAAAAGACATAAAAAACTTAAAATAATATACAGCCTCTTTTGACATTAATTTCATTATAAATGAAAACTACAATAACAATGTATAATCTTCAATCCACAATGGAGTAAAAATGTAATTTGAACAAAACTGTGATAAACGATTTGCCCAAATTGATTATTTGCAATTGGTGTGAGAGTTTTATCCTAAATTTCACATTTACATTCAATTTTGGCGTAAAAACGACGTTGTTCTATCTTCCTGATCCGCTATGAATACTTGATTAGTTTAGGAATTTTTTTCTTTGAGTAAATTCCCGCGTTGAGAATAAACGCTTTAGAGGAAAAGGAAAATATTATTATGGCGAAATTTTGTTTTAATTGTCCGAGAAAGAAATACACAATAAACAAGACATTTACAATGACATTGCATAAATAAAAGAGCGCAAGTAACTACTTAGTTGTATTATACACCTATACATACCTTACATATATAAGATTTTATACAAAGTACGCCTTAACAGTTCACAGATGTACCCAAAACCTTTTATATATACTATTCAGGGTTGCTACCTATCCTGAATTTTCCTGGAGAGTCCCGATTATTGGTAAAAATCAATGGAAAATAGTTTGATAGAAAATATAAAACAATTAATTCAAAAGGTCTTTTTTATTTTTCCGCAGGCTGATGATAATAAAAATCAATATTGGACTAAAGTCCGATTACTTCTGATAACCGTCCAAATGTCCCAACTTTTGTTTTCCACAAGATGGCGGCAACCCTGATACTAGGTCTGCCTCGATTTTGGTATTATGTAACGCATTTTTAATAAATCACTTATCCCTAGCCAGTAGCTATATATATTTAAGAAATCACTGCTTAATGAATACGAAATAATAGTTTATCGATAAAATATCAAGTGTCAAAATGAAGTTCAGCGGAAATCGCCGTTAATGTCATTTCGAAATTGCGAACCATAGATAAGAAATACGAATAACTGATTTTGACACATTAGACGAAGAAGGAGTAAACGAGACGACAATACAATGGACCAAACTATATGTTGTGTTGACACAACACATACCGAGTAATTTTCTAGTACCGAACAGATTGACTAATAGCATACATAGGAGTCATTGAATAAAACAAATAAACGTAAATATTCAATCTGTGTAAATTTACAAATTATATAAATTTTATAAATAGTTTTTTCGAAATTTCAACAGCTCATTACAGTACACTCAATAAAAGAACTCATCTCACAACTAAACTAAAAATAAAATTAACCAGAATGAAGTCCAAAGAAAACAAACAAGGAGAAGGTTGTACAAATAACGAAAATTATTTAGGAGTCCTATATAAATATTTGACCGGATCCCTTTCGTGCTGGGCCAACGATTTGATATAATACAGCCACTTACCGAGAAAAGATATCCTATTATAAGATCAGCGTCCCTCGGTGTGTCCAGGGCATCTTTTTCTAGGACATCCGTTCTTAACCAACGGCAGTCGACGTATGCCCTTACCGTGTTGTCATCATGGACACTGTACAATAAGAAATAATTATATATTATAATACAACACCTAGTATTTCCCCAGTGCCCCCTTTTTAGCCATTTGGCACTTCAAGGCGTTATAACTAGCGCTAAGGCAAATATTATTACTTTACTGCGAACGGTTTATAAAATGCTGAATTATGGCAAAACTAATACCGTTGACAGTAAATGTATCAAAGTTCACTTACTTCCTCGAAACTACTTGTGAACAAAACCCGGTCATAAACTTATTAAGTATTAAGTATAATGACTAAAATTGGTGTAACGGTGTGACGTAGCACACCGTTTATTTTGCAGTTATTAAGTGAGACTGAGCAGGAAACTTTCAGAAATGCTTGGCATCCGATTAAAAGTGCCCCGACGTATTGTCTATATAAATTAGAAAAATATTGTTGTAAAAATATAATAGTTAAGACCCACTCTGATTTTATACAAAAGGTCCAGCTGTGCTGCCCATAGAGGTGTAGATAAAACCATTTTTCTATATTAATAAAAACACTCGCGACGATTCGTATACATTTGAATTTGTATTTTAAACTCTGTTTATTATTTGTATGTCACTCTCTTCTTTTCTTTCGTCTAAGGTTTATATATTCACAATGTAAAATATATTTATATACTGCAATCCATAATTCTTAATTCGATTCTTAATTCCTACATTTGTAGAATATGTGCTGAGGTCCTATATTTATTTGAATACTTTTGTGTATTGTGAGTGAGTAATACTTTTATATAAAATGAAACAGCACTCACTAATTTGAAACCATTAGCGTGGGAGCACCCTATAAACTCCTGAATTAGTGTAAAGTGCTTTTTCAAATTAAATAAAAAGTAAAATTACTAAGACTCTATCCATATAAATGACGTTATGTTTCAAATGCCACTTATTTTTAGACTATTCTTCATTATTTTGAATGTTCTCTTTAGACCCCCAAAAGCATTTAACACGAGATTCAATAGATACTGGCTACAAAGGTTCGGTAATACCTATCTCGCTCGATAAATTGAGCTACCGTTGCCTAACTAACTTCAAAGTTATTTTCAGGCACCTCAGAAATTCAAAATGTTCGAGCGTCTAAATAAAATTTACCGCTGTCTCTGAAAGATTTTACTTTCATTCTCCAGAGAATATACTTTTCTCTTGAAAACTCGTAACTGAATTAAAGGTCTCTTGTTACTAGTGTGGGACTAGATCACACATATATAGATAGGTTTTATTTTGTAATGGCAGGCATAGACGCATATGCCTGCAGAACCATATTTGGCTCGTATAAAAATTTTGTAGATTGCATGTAAATAATCCCCTTTGTCTCTGGCACTCTGGAACTCGAACCAATGACCTTTGGCAATCCGGAAGACAGCTTGCCCGCAAAGTTTATCAAATATAATATATGTAAATAATTTCAGCGCGATGTTTGAAGCTTAATTGACCAGTCCGGGGGTGTAGAATATGATCTAGTTTTAAGTCGAAATCATCATCAGCCCTTTTACGTCCCCACTGCAGGGGCTTAGGCCTTCCTTATGGATGCTGAAGGAGGATGGGCCAGGACCTTCAATGCTGGATTAATGTAGATTGAGAGGTATTAACGACTGCACATACAGCCGGAGCCAACGGTTTAACGTGCCTTCCGAAGCACGGAGGAACTAATTTTAGTCACCTATCCAGTGACCGGCAATTTGATATATTAAAAAATTGGAATAATACTTTTCCCACTCAAAGCATAATAACTATGAATTCATTCAATTATAGATATAAGATACGTTAGTTAGAGTAGGACAAATTACGAAACATAACTTGGAAAGATTCTTAGATCATATAATCTATAGAAATATTTTTTCCTATTATAAATTAATCCAAAAACTACATACAAGATCAATTTTTTAAATTCTTTAGCATTGAGTATATTTAATATATCAAGGTTGCATGAATTTTCAGAAGCTAGAGCTAATAAATTATAAACAAAAATACTGATCATATTATATACTTATATAATAAAAATTTGGACACTAAAAAAATTAACTACAAATATTTTTAAATCAACTTTCGAGTACACAATTTCGAATTCTTATAGATTCGAAGGATCAAAGTAATTTTAAACGGCTTAAATCTCACATAATACTTCCTACGCTATCAAATTGTATACTTCTGAAAGCTCACGGAAACGTTTTATATATTTTAAAAATAATTTCTCTCTCCCCATACATTAACACTCCAATTTGATACACTTGTATTTACCAAAAAAATATTTCCTAATAGAATAGGTCAGAGTACTAATCCTAACTTTAACGCGTATAATTACTTTAGGAAGCATTTCTAAAAATGCTAAATCTTAAATAATATCGTGTAAAATACCTGAATAAAAAGTTTTGTGGTTTTTATCTTCTACTGCTAGGAACTTCTTTGAGGAACTTTTAATTCCCTATGTCAGCCATTTCAGTCGATTACGTCCAAATCACGAATTATGTTAGTCCAAATCACGAAAAAAGTGGTAGTGTATTGGAGCAAAGTCTGACGTAAACGAAGGATGACGAATGGTTTCTAACTGCAATTCCTAAAGGGTCAAAACGGCTTCTCGTGCTGTATGAGATCTCGCGTTGTCATGAAGCAATAATGGTGAAGATCGATTCATGAGTCGGGGCTGTTTTACCTACTGCTAGATCTGCCAACATTATTCGGAGTTCGGTATAATAGACATCTGAAGTTAGTGCTTGACCAGATCGGAGAAAACTACAGTGAATAGCACCATGCTGAGACCAGCAAACAGTTACCTTTACCTTTTTATTGGTAAGTTTTGCTTTAGGACACTGTTGTGGCGTTTGACCTGGGATCAGCCATTGCATTTTTCTTTTACAGTTATCATAAAGAATCCATTTTTCATCACATTTCTCTAAACCATTTCTTGTTAAATTGATACAATACATACATTTCTAATATTTTCTATTATCAGACTGGCGGACTAAATAAAAATTATTTATTTAACCCAGTCATTATCCTTTTTGTCTATGAAATGGGTTAAATAGTTCGGAATTGGAAAAAAATGTGCACTTTTAGGGAACTTCATGTTTTTTTTTTTTGAAAATCATTTATAATTCTACATTTAAACTGTGACGAAAACCCTAACGATGTTTTTTTTTTTCATTTTTATTTACAGCTTACATGGACATTATTCGTACAAAAACAGTTCATCGAGTTTTGGTTTTAAGTGTACACGCCCTTTTAAGGCATACGAAATTGCGGCAGTCAATATCTATTAACTGATTGATTTTTAACAGCCTTTAAATAGAATATGGTTTTTAACAAACCACTCACCTAGATTAAGTCATTAGTCCACCGACATATAACGTTTATCCAATGGTTAATGAGTGTCGTTTTATGTTGGACTTGTGTTTGAATGGACATGAAAAACATTATTATTGTAATAGTTAAAGACGCATCCAGACCAAACGAATCATTAGAGATAGCCTATCCAACCACCCGCGATCCAGACGCCTAATTGTCTAATCTATCAAAATTATTTACAATGTGACATTTGAAAGATTCAAGAACTTCATGATACAACTATTTGACATGTGACAGGGATTGCGATCGCGACGTTTCGAGCATATTGAATGAACGTTACCTGATGGCAATATGATGCCAGCGGAAGTCATATAACGGTACGGCAAGATAGATGGATCTTGACGACCCTGCTCCCGCGTGGACCAGTCTCGCTGCTCCCCTCCCTGCTAGCTCTAAAGACAGGAACGATCCTGTTCTACGCCTCGACCTTAATGAGAATAGGGTGCCTTGGCCGTATCCTCCACTCTGTTTAAAAGAAACAAGTATTGGTTAAATATTATTTACATAAAAAAAATGAATGGCAAAGAAGTATTGAGCATTGCTTGGTCATGTATTCCCCAATCAGTATTGGAACTCTTCAGAGCTTAAGCGAACAGGCACTTTCTGTGCAGGCACTCAGTAAGATGTGATCTAAGATGGTGTTATGTAGGTATAAAATATGCCTATGTACCGTCTTAGGCCACATCTTACTTACAGTCTTCGAATAAAAAAAAAAGTATGCAACGCTTTTTTATTCTATACTTTACTGTTTTATAAAATGGTGCTGAACAAAGGGTCAATCAAGGAGCTGTCACAATATCAGAGGTTATTCGATAGAGCCTTAATAAAATATAATCCGGTCGCCAAACAGAGGGAATTTGGTACAATGACCCGACATTATATATCTCTTTCACTCATACACTAACATATTACTGTTGCAATCGCACAGGAGTATCTAACCAATTTTTTCATACTAAAGTAAACCCTTAACAAATGTTACGTAACCACAAATGTTAACTTACGAATGTTTAGAGCACCTCCACATATAGTATTTTATATAAAACTTTTAAAATGGACTTGATTTTTCTACATTTGATAGACCGGATATTAAAACGCCGTTATGATATAGCGCACTAAATTTTTTAAGACAACTATATTTTATTGCGAGAATTATATTTATGTGGCAATTATATATATACGGTATCTAATCACATCTCATTTGACAGTCGTGGTTCTTAAACGTCTCTGTGTGATAGCGCACTCGCAAGGTGTTGTACAACCTAATTTATTGTTAATTTATTGTACCAAACTATATTCAGTTGCCAATCTGAAAATTGGGTCTTGGTTTATTTTTGTTGTTATGTAATGAATTAATTCAATCAAGGCGTGTTGTGTCTGCCTTGTTTAGTTATAAACCATTTTATATAATAGAGCAATGGATAACTATAGTACATTTCTTTATAATAGCGTGCAATAAAACTTTCTTAAAATAAAAATATATATAACCTGGGTTCCTAGGACTTGACATTGACTATTTCACAGAACTTACCGAACAAATAAAAATAACAAACATTACAGTAGACAGAGAAAGCATTTTATTTAATTAACGAGTAAGGCTTGGCACACATCTGACTGAAGATCCGTCAAACGATTCCCGGAAGTATGCGTTAGTATGCGATGTGCGAGTTACCGACCATTGGTCTAGAATTCACGATTAAAGCAGGTTTCATATGATTGCATTTCTATGCTATAACAGCGATGCCCATTTACTACGAATAGAGATGATGGCTGACTAAATAAAAAAACTCTATTTATTCCGTTAGATAACAAAAATTATATTAGATACGATTTTTCTTGGATCAATTTAATAAGTAATGGCCAAATAAGTTGAGGAGTGGGGGCTCGGTATGTTACAAAGATATATCGAATATGACGTCGTGCCATATTACAACTTAATATATCGCCATAATTTAATGATTACACTAAAAATACGTATTATATTTTATTTAATAATCTATGTGATGACAGGCAAACAAAAATTAGTAGTCTCTATTCAAGGTCGTGTTTGTTGTTCCGTAACCGATGACGGAAATTACGCATTCTCCGTCAGATATGTGGCAACCCTTAAAATATTTATAGAATATTTCCCTAAGGTAAAATAAACATAAAATCTATTTAAGCAATATTGACGTGGGAATCAACGGCAAATTTTAAATCCCGTCGCTATTAAAAAAAAAGGATCGGTTTTCATTCGGGAACCGTCTATTGTACCAATATATCAAACATGTCAGCTCTAAAAGCTTTCAATACTAATTGATTTTTATTCAATTTTATGTTTTAAAGTGCTCTGAGTAAAATGTTAATACCCAAAGTGCGATGGATAATGTTTTAAACAATACATTGTGTTGCAAAGATAAAAATGTCAAGGATATATTTTCATGATATATTGAATGATACCATTTCATTTTAATCCTTAAAACCGACAGTTTTTATGAAAGTGTATGTGTAACGGCACATATGTATTAAAATCCGATATTTTTTTTAATTTAAATTAATAAAAAAAATATTTTTACACAAAGGGTAGTTTGGAACGGGTTGTTTTCACAGACACTGATCTAATAATGCGTATTCTTTCATCTACGGGAAACTACATCATATGTGGCTGATATAAGATAAGGCTACGGGAAAACAGCTAGTCAGTTATTTATAATCTTATAGCGATTACTTACCTCGGGCCTTAGCCTCAAAGAGATAAATAACGTAAACTCCCTAGGAAACGTCTTGCCAGCCCCGAAGAGCTCTGAAGACGCAATCCAGATGTAGGAGTTGGGCCTTAAACTGAACGCGTGAGGTCTGTCTGAAACAGTGCCCCATCGCGCCTGCGCCGGATGGAAATTACGTCTAGCGCCGGGCGCTAAGGGATTTATTGCACCTGTATAGAATAATAATAACATTTTATTTTCACCACAAATAACATTATAAAAGGTTGTACGATAAGAAATAATTGTACAGCCTAATTATAGTACCTATTATCCATTTATATTGCAATATAAATGGAATAATTAAAATAATATTTTTTCTACGAGATTTTCTACGAAATGATTGTACATTCTAATTAAAATACCTACTATCCATTTAAATTGTAATATATTAATATAAATGGATAGTAGGTACTATAATTAGGTTGTACAATAATTTCCAATAATTTCAATTATAAATTTTTCTACGACATTTTTTGGGAATAAAAAAAGTGTTTCGCTTTCAGCGATAGCGAGATACAGTGAGAGTTGTGTGTCGAGAACAGGTGTAAGTTAGTGGTGACACAGCAAAAAAATCCCCGTGACGCTTGCAGCAGCATACTTGCCGAAATATCAGGAACTCAATAAAAACAAGTTTCTAATGTAAATAACCATGAAAGTTTAAAACATCATAAATGGATTAATATTAGTAAATATCACACGGCTGCACGTCAGACTACCACAATATCAAATTTTCTCAATCGATTTGAACTCTACCTATAATTCATTTAGGTTTAAAATAAATTGGAAAAATTTGACGGATTTGTATAGCCTGGCTTGCTGTTGGTTGTTGGTTGTTCTAAATTTAATAGCTTCTGGCATTTGTACTTTTTGTATACAAATATATAAAAAACGAAAGTACCACAACAACCAAACCCGAGGTATTACTGAAAAGTTTTTTCTACACTGATCCAACCGAAAATCGTATCTGGGACTTCTGAAATAGCGAGGGCGTCAATGGAATAAAGTAAATGCTCGTACATAATTCCTTACTATAAGATAATGAAAAATTGCGATAAAACTAATAAGATTTCCGCTGTGATAATTAAAAAATTAAGCAGTGGTCCAATAAATTATGACCCAACTTAATATTTTTTTATAAATATAGATATGTTTATAAAAAAATAAACAAAACTTGATTTTATAGGTGTTCATTAAACTTTAATTACACTTTAAGTTATATACAATACTCTTTCAAACACCTTTGCTTGTGAGATATAATTGGTCTATAGATTTTTGAGAACACAAAATATTTATTCAATTCTTATTAAGAAAGTTAAAAACAAGTTTAACTTTAAAAATAATAAGATTTATAAACAGATAATTATTTTACCAAATGACTCTTACACTCATATCTATAGTCGAGAAAAATAATGACTTGAGAAAATATGATAACTTCAGCAATATTTGTCATTGGTTGACAAACGAGAATTTGAATGAAGTAAAAAGTGTCAATAATTACTAAGATTGAATTTTATCTTTAGAGAGTTTCTACTTCATTCTAATTCTTGTTTATTTACTAAAGATATTTGCTTAAGTTATTATATTTTCTCGTATAATAGAAATGATGACTGTCCGTTTATATAGATAGATTATTGAAGAATGTTAAATACGTATTTTTTTATTAATAAATTACTGCGATACAATGAGTTGAAATGTCACATGACGTCACGCTTTTGTACATTTTCCAGAAAACTGTGACGTGGCGACTTTAATGCCTACTATCTAAGATTTTTCTTTTATGAATTGAAGCAGAAAAAGATACGTATTTAATATTTTTATATTAAGTCATTGACGGACTAAATAGTTTTATTTTTTCACCCAGTCGTCATCTCTATTTCTTCTCTCGACTATAGATACGTGAAAGTTTCCTCCTATCATTTTACTTATATAGAACCAAAAGTCCAACTTGACAGTAATAAAATTAAATTATTATAGTTTGTGCCAACAGCATTGCTATCATACTACCTATAACAACGTGTATCACAGTTCTGGTAACATTCAATCGCAAAATACGTTAGTGACATATGAAATCCTATTGTTGTTACACCACAAAAACGTTGGAATGTCACAACTGATTGGTAACACAATAACAAAGGTTCTGACCTTCACAATCGAAGGTATTACACGACCTCCCCTGTTCTCCGTAACCCTCGCAGATTGTCTTCGAGCAGTACCTCCTTCTAGTCTGTCTGCCGCCTCCACAGCTCCTGCTACAAGCCCCCCACTCCCCCCAGCCCGCCCAACCTGCAATTTGATAGATGAGTTATGTTGTACGAAACTACTCTTCCTGACTTTTGGGAAAAAATTGCCCACAAGTTTATGTAAGGATGGGCCTTTCTCAATTTAGTTAATCTGGCGGTCAAACTACTCATGTACCAATTTCAAAGGGAATGTTGCTATTTATTTTCAGCCGGCGAACCGTAACAGGTTGGATATTTCACACGTTTTGAAATCGTACTAAGCTTTCACTATTATATTTTACTAAAATTTTTAAAATACCTTTTATTAACTAATAGTAAAACTTTACTAGTTGCAATTCAAACATTGATATTAAATATATATAAATTTATAATATTTCGTTAAAACTTTGATATTGTATGCGTTTATGATTAATATTTATTTGCAATAACTGTCATATCACAATGTACAGAGGTTTGTTTGTAATTTAAAAACTTTTTTTAGAAATAGAACCAAATTCAAACTTAATAAAAGTGATACAAATAATATTTATCTCAAAAGCAACTTATTCAAGAAAATGCTATTGAAGTCTAATATTATTTATATTTTTTTTAAGTTTGAAGTCGGTTCAATAAAAAGGAAGGTTTATCTCATGCTTTGTATGATATAGATATTTTTTATACAGTGACACTAAAAAAATTAAATAGTTTATTTGCTCGATATATTTTTTTCCGATATTCGTGTTATGAAGAGGAAAGATTTTATTACTTGTTTGTTTGCATTGGATAAGCTTCGAACTTATTGGACCAATTTATGAAAGTCTTTCGTCTATGAGAGCTATATAACACGCGATGGACATTGGCTATAATTTACACAGGCGACATAATGGGGAAACAGCTAGTTTGATAGAAATTGGTTCGCGATTCAAGAAAAAATCGATCAACATACCTACGTTCATAAATATATATATATATATATAAATATATACTCTTTGAATATAAAGAATCCTTCATTCGGATTTTGAACAAATTCCAAATACGAAATCTTTTGTTTTTAGCTGGAATACAATACATATCGTCTGAATATTTAGGTGATAACTGGTAAAAAGAGTAATTTGTTTGTTATAAAAGGAAAACTACTGATTCGATTTCTATATAAAACTACGAGACTACTACTACTACTGTTGAAAATAAAAAAAGATATTTCTCTTTAGTTGACAGCCAAATTTATCTTGTTTCGTCGACAGAATTTATAGAAAAATATGGCCAGTTTTCCGATGACTAAAGAAAAGTTTATTGAAAACGTGTTGGCTCGTTCGATATTTTGCCTTTATAGAAATGGAATGTTATTTCTAATGGTTCATTTTAATTGATAGATATAATGCATCCATGCCAAAGTGGACGACCGTGGTTATGGATATTGTTAAGCAACATTGGCAAGGGTCAGTGACGCGACGGGCCATGTTTCGGAAGGCACGTTAAGCCGTTGGTCCCGGCTGCATTTGCATTCGTTTCCTTACAATCCGCTTTGGGTCAGCGTGGATGATTGTAACCCACTTAACCATCCATAAGAAAGGCCTGAGCCCCTGCTACAGTACATTAAAAGAAAAAATGATGATATGGCATGCGAGGACTCCCGAAAAGAAATGACAATGAAACTCAAAAATAATAACTCAGTCACATAAAGGTGGACATCCACTGTGTACACACGGTACGAACGAATTAAACGGATTTGCTGATATCATACGTCTACTGGGTCTGGAATATTATAGAAGTACCGTTTGACAGATTTCACGTAACGCTGCGTAGTAATGTTTAGTAGCTCTACTTCATTGATATGCATTGAATTCTTTGCTCATATAATGCGTACGGCCGGTACGATCGACCTATACTTATAAGTGGACTCTATTGCTGCTAGCATACCAAATCAAGACAACTTAAAAGGCTATATTACACTTCGCATGAGACATTGAAGTTTATATTTTATATTTATATAATGATTCGATGCGTACTTCTCTGGTATTTAAAAAATAAATCATTAAACACATTCAGTCACTGCATTAATTAATTTATAATATAAAACCCACTGCAAAATGTAATAAAAGTTTTATTCAGCAGAACAATTGGTATGCGAGTGTTAATTTTTTCACATAAACAGTCCTGAAATTATTTTAATGAATTTAATGTGCGTTTACCATTATGTATACTAACCTACTGCATTCCAAATGGCAATATCAACCCCTAAACTCCAAGGAACTGCGGCAGCCGTAGCTTCTAGCCAAGGCCCATCTGGAGGCGTTGTCTCCAAGTCCTCAGCAGGATCTGTTATTCTGGAGAAGACTACTAGCTCACTTTGAGATGGCGCCATACTCCAGTTGAAGCAGTCCGCAAGCTGTGGGCTGATCTTGAGGTTCACCTGTCTGGATAATATTATATGCTCATAGAAATTTAAAGGTATAATTTATTTAAAAAAAATAAAAAGTTTCATTTAGATCATGGATTTTATGTAACGCATTTGTTTCTTATATTTTCATATGCATTACTTATTAAATAAAACTAAATGATTGCCACGCTTATTTTATTCCTGAAAAATTCAATAGTTTTTCAAAAATACAAGCGATAAAATAATTTAAAAGTAGTGTAGTAGTAAAAATGTTTAATAAGTTATTTATTTTATCTAAATACTAGCTGTTTTACCATGACTTTGATGGCAAAAATCACAGCGATTTCACCCGCGTATGATATAGCTTCTTGTAGGTAGAAGAATTTCTAAAGTCAGTCCAATAGTTTTGGAGCCTATTTAATATAAAAAAAAAAAAACAAATCTTCCCCCTTTAAAATCTGTACTAATATTATAAAAATTAAAGATTTGTTAGCTTGCATCAAATAGGGACCGAAACTACAAGACCTATTTTAAGAATTCTTTCACCTACGGAAAGGTGCATTCCACATAATAGGCGACTGACACAGCCTATGTCAGTAGCGCGAACAATTTACGCGGGTCAGTTCGTGGGCATACAGCTAGTATTATTGCATATTTCATCTAAGTATATATAATAAGTTCTATAATGTTATATAATGCAAACTTATTGGTGAATAAACCATTGGTAAAGATTTATGCTGTCGTAAGTATTATAAAATGTACTGATCACGAGGCAGTTTTGTGAGCGAGATTTAATTATACGGGCCGCGTTCCTACAGAGTTGGCGGTTTAATTGAGTTCTATACTAATCTTAGTTGCTTCTGACGTATCATGGTGTTTGGGCCAAACTAGGAACTAATACCGGTTATTAATCTCACATAATGTTAATCTAAGGCAAATTAGCTCGGAGGCGTAGTTGATAAGCACTTCAGCCCGCGATCGTTGTTGTTAAGCAACTTTCGCAAGGGTCGGTCACGGGATGGGTGACCGGAAAGTGTTATCTTAAACTACTCTGTGATTCGGAAGACGTGTGAAGGTCCCGGAATCTGAATTTGGAGTCGTTAATATCCTCTTATCTGCGTTGGGCCAGCGTTTAGGGTCATAGCCTATCTTCCTTAAACATCCAGAAGAAAAGCCTTAGTCCCAGCAGTGGGCATATCAAAAGACTGATGATGAAGTTTAGCCGGTTCATTCAGTTTGGTGAAGCCGACACCATGAAGGAGTTCAAGATAATTAATTTTTGGGCACCGATCCTATGATCGGCCATTGCAAAAGTTGCTTAACAACCGTAGACTGAGCGCGCTAGCAACTGTGCAATCGAGCTCCTTAGTATGAAAGAAAAAAATAAGCTACTTAATATGAAAATATGGTATTATCATTGCCGTTTGTTTTAATTATTATTATGATTATTATTAATGTCCTGGACAATTTTATCATTATTTCCTCTACACATTTTGACAAACACGTCACATATTTTTATCAATTTTCTAGTTTAGGGCAATTACAAAGAGAAATATTATGAATTTTTTAGGGATAACTTTAAAAAAATATAAATTCACGTTAACAATGACATCTTTTACTCATTTCTTTTAAATAACACTTTATTTGTTTAAAACCAATTCAAATTTGTGAGTGTGGGCGCCCTTTTAAGTCAGCCAATCTTTAATTCAATCTAATGTTAATGAAATCATAACTCGAAAACTACAGAAAATCGTTGTATATAACATGGAGTATTAGTCCAGCTGGATATTCTATTTTAAAGCAGCTCCAAACTCGACGTCCAGCTCAGAGCTATTATAGCATCGAGTTTCAATAAATTAAACCTATATTACTTTTTAAAGTAGATTTTATTTATCAGGTATTATTTATCAGATATCAGTGTGTGTAAACATTTTCTAAAGTCGTCAATGAAAATTGCTTAAAAATCCCAGGTACCGTAACAGGGGTCGAACCCACGGCCTTTTGCAATCCGGGTTACAGCTCTAACCATTTAGTACTCGAGAGCCAACAGGACTGACGAATTTTTCAAGCACTTGTCACTTTGAACTAATAGCAATGTTCAAGGAATCCAAAATATAGCATTGTAAATTCAAAATATCTCAAATGATTTATTTAAAAAATATTTGGAGATACGAAATTTTCAGATATAACAGAACTATTAACACCAATACGCTAATAACTTAAACGTGGTCTTGAACTACGTTCCTCAAAGTTGTGAAACTTCGCTACTTTACGTTCGCACCATACTCTGGAATACTTGAAGAACATTTTTCATTTGGCTCTGGAAATTTTCTTGTAAAGTATGTCTGTATTAAAGCTGTAATGTTTGAGGTTCTCTTGTAATTTTATTCGTGTATCTGATATTTTGTGTATTATCTAATGATGACTAATGTAGAAGTTGGATTTTACGTTTGGTTTTAAACTTTGGTCTTAAGATCACTCTCGCAATGCCACGCAATGCACTTGCCATAAATTGAATATTATTATATTAAGTTATTGCCACCAGTTTCACCCGCGTGGTCCTGTGTTATACATATAAACCTTCCTCTTGAATCATCATGTATATTGATAAATACAGCCTTAAAATGAATGAATGAATGATAATTTTATTTGCACCAATCACAATAAGACATGCTATATACACATTGAAATAATTAAATTATAAAAACAAAAAAAACAATCAATTAAAACACACACAGGGCCACATGTATGCCGGGACGATGCAAAAAGGACAAAAGCTCGACAATATGTTTGTGCTTGGAAAGCAAACTGTTGATTTTCAACTTTGACCTAAGTTTGAATTAGCGGGGAACCAAAGATATCGTGTAAGATTAATGTGTGAAATTTTAATTGCCTATTATTAAGTACATATTGAATAAAATAATAAAATTAATAATAAAGTAAATCGTATAAAATAAATTTATAAATATAAATTAAAAAACATTTATATACAAAATTATTAGCAAATTAAAAATGACATTATATTATTAATGTCTGAAATTCAATCGCAGATATTTGGCATCACAATTAAACAAAAGAACAGATACCGTTTTGAAAATCAGTTCTACAGATTGAAAGATCATAGCATACAGACAGCGGGAACTGGCTTTTTTTATATTATGTATATATTTCTTATCGTCAATAACAAAAGCTATCGGCAACTGTCAGCATGAGGCTTTTTAATATTAACGTAATAAAGTGTACTTATAATGACATATTTTTTTAATGATCTTTAAATGACAAGCTGATTGCTGAGTGCCTATGAGGTGTGCTATGACCTTTATTAAGCGTATGATTGTACCTGATTTGGTACCTTCTCGTAGCTCGCTGGCGTAGTGGATTAGCGCCGCGGCCCTCGATCTTTTTTGTTAAGCAATGGGATGGGTGACCAAAAAAATACTATCACGAGCTACTCCGTGTTTTGGAAGGCACGTTAAGACGGTCCCGGCTGCATTTACAGTCGTTAATACCCACTAATCCGCATTGGATCAGCGTGGATGGTTCATGGCCTATCCTCTTTAACCATTGACAATGAAGGCTGAGCCTCTGCAGTGGGAACGCCTTAGTGGACCAATATAGGAAATGGACTACTCTAAACATTTGATATTTATTTTAATACTGCCACTTATGATCACGGGGCCCATTGACGTAAAACTGTAAATGTTTCGGTACACTACATATTCCGATCCAACTCTATCCACACAAGAAAAAGTTTGCTAGCATTCTACGACTAATGTTACCTACTCATTGCTATTTTAGCTTACTAATCCAATCAGAACAGAACTAAATCGATTAACAGATGTCTATTGCAAATTAAGTCCTATCTAATTCGATTAACAGATGTCTATTGTAAATAAAATCAATCCACTCAGATTCAATGTGATCATAGCTATTATCTAATTACTTAATTTAAATTACTTTACGTAAAAGTTATTGATTTTGTGAAAAATAGTAATATTTCCTTCATAATTACATAATTTTTACTTACTAAATAAATAATACATATGAAGGGTTAAACTCAATTTGTAATTAATGTGTATTCATAATATTTATTTAGAATTAATTTGTGCTTAAATTTATGATATTACAACCGATCAAAAATATTTTCATGTGAAATGCAGCCAAGACACCTTGGCTTGCACTGTCAAATGATTTTTAGATTTTGTGTAGAGTTAAGTAATATCTGCGTTTAACCTTTGCCTTAGATAACTCATATTAACGTTAAATTAGAAAAAAAATCTTTCAATATCTTTAAAAAAAGTCTAATAGTTTGAAACGTCAAATTGAACGGGATTGCGACAGTGTGTTTGTTAATACCATCTTCCTTTTCCTTTGTTTTTAGAACACTGCGATCTTAATATAGAAAAAAAAAAATCTGTAAGCGAAATAATTTTTAAAATTGTAGCTTACAAATTTCACTCTGAGATGTGACCGGAACCCATGACCTTTCGCAATGCGGGCGACTGCTCTAACCACTGAGCCTGCTCTACGCTCTGTAGTAGCCAAAAAGTAACTAGTGCTTGAAAAATTCGTCAGTCTTATTAGGTCCTGGATAGCTCAGTGGTTAGAGTAGTCGCCCGGATTGCGATAGTCATGGGTTCGAGTCTCTTCCCAGAGTGGATTTTTTAAGCAATATTGGTAATTTATTAACCAAATGAAAAATCATTAAAATACAATTGACAATTAATAAATTCGCAATAGACCCCGAAACGTGCCTAATATCCATAAACTACGAAACATTGGTTTAATATTCAAATTTATAGTCCCTAATCATGACAAATAATGTTCAAGTTTTATTATATAATCTTTCGTTTTATTGGGCTTAACAAAGCAAATATATTTGATTGGATTAATTTGTTTAATTTATAACTTGAGATTGTGAGAAATTATTCAGTTATAATTTCTGCCCGCGTTTCTAACAGCTAATTTATTATTACCTACCCAAAGAGAATGTTAAACTAGGATATAAGAATAAATAACAATTGTATAGGAGCAATT